GAGGATGATGATGGTCATTGATGTCCCACTTCCCCCATGTGGTTTTATCATCATGTGATCCATTTTTACATTTTATTGATAACCTGTCATGTGTCTTTTCAAAAGATATTTTAAAAATATCTCAGCTGTCCAAGGTTGAAGAGCGCTTAGTCAAATGAGCTGAGATTCAGGATCAGCTATATGCCTTCTTGTGTTTGTGTGGAGCTCTAACTTTTGAAAAACTTGGTAGTTGGGAATGAAAAGTTTTAATACAGTAATGTTGTTCATCCCTTTCAACTTTTTTTTCAAATGTTATATGCAGGAAAAAAAAAAATCACCAAATGACCTATCATCAATTATATTTAAGGATCTATTGCTTATTTAGGGAGCTCGGTAGCATAGTGGCTAAGGCACTTGCCTGCTAACCAGAAGGCTGGCGGTTCAAACCCACCAGCCACTCCTCGGAAGGAAGGTTGGGCAATCCTACGTCCGTAGTGATACTGCCTCGGAAACCCAAGGAGGGGTCGCTATGCGTCGGGGCCGACTCGACGGCAAACAACATCATCAACAACAACGGTGGCATAGTGCCTAAGGCATTTTATTGCTAACCAGAAGGCTGGTGGTTCATACCCACCAGCCGCTCCTCGGAAGGAAGGTTGGGCAATCTACTTCCGTAGTGATCCTGCCTCAGAAACCAAGGAGGGTTGATTGTGAGTTAGATCTGACTCGACGCCAGTGAGTTGAGTTTATTGCTTATTTATTTATTTAAAAAACAAAGCATTGAGCACACCTGTGTTCATTGCAGCACTATTTACAACAGCAAAAAGGTGGAAACAACCTAGGTGCCCATCAGCAGAAGAGTGGATGACCAAACTATGGTACATACACACAGTGGAATACTGTGCAACACTAAAGAATAACAGACTCTGCAAAATACCACATAATGTGGATGAACTTGGAAGACACATTGGAAGGACAAACATTGTATTAGTTCACTATTGTAAAAAAGTCAAGGAAAGAAAGGTTTATAGATGAAAGGAAACTTTCTTTGTTGGTTACCAGGGTGGGAGGGGAGGGAAAGGAATGGTCAAAAAATTTAAAATAATACTAAAATTAAAAACAAACAAACAAGCCATTGAAAAGTACTTCACTTACAAAGGGTACGTTAACCAGACATTGGGGGTGGGGGTAGTCACTGTGTCAGTGTCTGGGAAGTGCACCAAATAGATTGTACGAGTAAATGTCAAATCCCCATGAGTGTATGTTACTCTTTTACTTAGAGGCACCTTCTTTAATTTAATATACTGAAAGAAGGCTAAAAAAAAAGAATTTCAGTAAATTTTTGGCCTGTAATACATTTTTTTTATAAAATGTGTTTTATTGACTTAATTTATTTACATTGTATTGTGATTTGGGTCAATTTACAGAGCAAATTCCTTTTCCATACAGCAGTTCATACACCTTTTGCTCCATGACATTGACTGCTATCCCTACATTGTAACAGCTTTCTTCCCATTTCTTCCCCGAAGTAACCTTTTCCCTGTGTCCTTTTTTCCTCTGCATTCTTGCCCCTGAGCTATCTCCCTGTGCAATTGCTGCCCTTCTGTTCTCCCATGTTTGCTCATTACAAGTAGGGTATCTATCTGGTGTAAATACTGCCTGTTTATTGTTTGGCTGGAAGCCATGGGAGTGAGTACAGTTCCAGGCCCAAAGAGTAACTAGAGACCATAGTCTCAGGGGTCTCACCAGGCTTTCCCAGACCAGTAAACCTGGTCTTTTTATGATTGTGAGTTTTGTTCCACATTGTTCTCCCACTGGATCCAGAATGTACTGCAGTGATCCCTCTCTGAGTGGTTGACAGTGGTAGCCAGGTACCATCTAGTTCTCCTGGTCTCATGGTCATATAGGCTGAGGTTCTAATGGTCCATTAATCCCCTGTACTAATTATTTCCATGTGCCTTTGGTTTTCTTCATTCTTCTTTGTTCCAGATGAGGAGAGAGCAATTATTGCATATAGATTGCTGCTTGAAAGTTTTTAAGACCCCAGTCGCTACTCAGCAAAGTAGGATGTAAAATAATGTTTTTGTGTTGTATGTTATGCCAGTTGAGCTTGATGTCTCATGCAACCGTCGTCCCAAACTCACAGGTCCAACAACTTGCTCCATCAGGGTGGTTGACTGCGCCTAAAAAGTTACCTAACTGTGCCCCCTGTTAGTTCTGTTTATCTGGACATTCTTACAGCACATACAAATACGTCTGTAGAAATAGCATCTGCCAACCTTATATATATATGGGAGTTCTGGTGGCGTAGTGCCTAAGGCATTTGACAGCTAACCAGAAGGCTGGCAGATCAAACCCACCAGCCACTCCTAGGAAGGAAGGTTGGGCAATCTACTTCCATAGTGATACTGCCTTGGATACCCAAGGAGGGGTCGCTTTGAGTTGGATCTGACTCAATGGCAGTGAGTTTGTTTTCTGGTAATCTTTTATATGGTCATGGGTATATTTCCTTTTGCCTAGATATAACTGATGATTGAGCCTGTCTCCCATCTATTTACCCATAGGATGATGTTTGTTACACTGATAACATAGTATTGTAGACGTAAAAGGGTTTAATCTTTGTTATCTATACCTCTTTGTTATCTATATCTCTTTGTCTTCCCTTTCCTTGGTGTTATTGTGTTGGTCCCTTGCTTTTTTGGTATATTGCCTTTCACTTCAACCCAAATGAGTATTTGTCTCTTACCTATCTAGTATTTTTTCTTCCCCTCTCTCAGATCCCTGGTAACCAATAAAGAAAGTTCCATTCCATATATAAACCTTTTCTTGACTTTTTACAATAATGAACTAATAGAATATTTGTCCTTCTGTGGTTGACTTGTTTCAAATGCCTATGAGGGTATGTGTTACTCTTTCACTTGTTGTTGTTAAGAGATATCTAATTTAATTTAATATACTGAAAGGGGGCTGGAAAGGGTAAGAAGTTCAGTAAATTTTTTGCCTATAATATTTTTTAATAAAATGCATTTTATCATTTTAAATATACATTTGTTTAAAAACCTTGAAATTACTGATTTAATTCATTAAATTTATGGAAAATACTTGCCATGTAACTCACTGGTAAAGGCAGTCTTCATTCAAGCCCGTCAGGCAAATCATTCTTACTTTCTGAAGGAAAAAATCTGACTTTATTTTCCGATTCAAGTAAATGTGTTAATTTGTATTTTGAAGAAATAGATAAACTACTTAGAAATAACTTAATGGAACACATCTTGTAAAGTAGATTCCTAGAAGCCATAAAGTCAAAATTAAAAATTAAAAACATGTGTAAATACTATAATTAATCAATTTTAACAGTAACTTAGTATCAGTGTTAAGTAATTTATAATAAAGAATGTAATGTATAGCTAACATTATAAACTTGGAAATGAAGAGTGTGGTACCTAGCATGATACTGCTTCAGTAAGTGTACATGCATACGTGAATCAAATGGTGTTATTAGGATTTTAGATACCGTTAAGATGATATAGAAAAAACAGAAATTAATACATTAATTTATTTAAATCTCATCATTGCTTCTATGTTTAATATGGGAGAAAAATATGTTGCTATGTATCAGTTGGCTTTATCCTCTTGTTAACAAGAGGTAGAAATTATAGCATTATATAAGATGAATAAGAATTTACTGTGATTGAACTAAATATTTCATTATGAAAGTTCATACCTTAATCGAAAGAAATTACTTAAAAATTTTACCTATGGATTTAAATATTTGTTATGTTAAAAAATTCATCATTATCAGCTA